AGTATTTAACTACTTTAATCTTCACTTTCATGCAGGGCAAACTCAGGTTCCTCGCAGAAACGAAGGAAAAAAGGAAAAAGTGAGCAGAGTCCTGCCAAGAGTTGAATTGGCTTTGATGAGATTCAGCTGTAATTATTTCTCAGCAACAACAATGAGGACAACAGACTTAATCCGCAGTGAGAGGCCTGACGCTGCTTCCTGCTGACAGTGATTAGGCCTAATCTAGGCTTTTTGCTGTTCTTTGGAGGAATGTGGTTTTTAATGGCAGCGTGTTTTGTTTCGCGCAAGTTTTTTTCTGCACTAAGAATACACGTTTATGAAACTATGTGAAGTGCAATCCACATCTTTTGTGGTATTGATATTCAAGGGAAAAGTGGATGCAGGGCTGAAACTAAAAGATGTTCTTTATCAAATAATCAACCAATTATTTTAGTGAATAAGGTTGTCCTAAAATGTCAGAGATGAGGCTTGTGTCTTCTGTAATGTCAATTTTTGCAGTGGGAAAATTATTTTTGTGGCAAATTGTTAGAAAGTGGGCTTGAGATGTATTATCCGTTAGAATTCCAATAGTTTGCCATTGAACATGTTTAATTGACCTTTAATGATAATAATGATCATTTGAGCTGCGACTTGAATAACAGAATCATTCATTGATTAATTGTTGCGGATGTTTTGGAGCCTGTCTTATTTGGTCTGAAAAACAGTCCGAAACCTACATTTGGAATTAGGTTTTGTCTCATAAGAGCTCAAATGATTACTAATCAATTTCAACAGAAAATAATTGGGCAATTTGCTAAATAATTAAATCTTTATGTTAGGGAAAATGTCAGAATTACTCAATTCTAGATTTTGTATTATAAATATTTGTTGATTTTCTGATAAGTATGTGTTAATAATCAGAATGTCTTTAGGTTATAGATGAAATAAAACACATTGGCACTTGGAATGGGGTTGTTTCTATTAACATTGAATAGATATATATCGATTCAGCTCTACCATTAAATAATGTCAATCATCTCCGCAGGGAAACAAATCAGTGCAGACACAAATACAAAAATACAATCAGAGCCAAAATAACATTGCTTTAAAATTGTAATTGAAGCCGGGTATCTTATCTTGATGTCTTTTGTTAAACGTGCAGCTCTAGTGACGCAGCGACAGTTAGTGTGCGGAGCGTTTTGTGCCACGGGGCCACAGTCACCGGCCCTCAGTTATTCCCCGAGCGAGAGAAAGCCAAGGCTGGACTGGAAGTGGGAGAAGGGGAGAAGGAGAAAGGCCAGATGTCAGGGCGCTCCAGGAAGAGGATTGCTAAGCGGTGTGAACATTTTTCAGAAATGATGTTTTGTGCCTCAAACATCTTGCTTACAGCAGCAGGGTCTGATCCAAGCATTATGTGCGAATACATCAGTAGCTCTGGACCCCCCTCTCCACAGGCGAACAAGCACACACAAACACACACAGACACACACACACACACATATCCTAGTAACTGAAGCTCACCCCCCTCCTCCCATCCCCCCGCCACCCTTCTTCTTCTACAGAAGTAAATTATCAAAACTGTGTTTGAAAGTGAATGAAGGGTGACTCGCTCTCTCTCTCCCTTTCTCTCGCTCTCTCTCCCCTTCCCGCTTTGACATCTCAGTTTTTTTTTTTCCTTTTTTTTTTTTCTTACTTGCCACCGTTTCTGGGCTAGGTGATAACTGCCGGTAATAGGATTAACATTGATTTCTTTTTGCAAGAACAGAGATGTGCCAGTTCCAGCTATTTATTGAACTGCCAGCTTTGAACTATGAAAACTGACTGCAGGAAAAGACCTAATGCAGCATTTTAGAGAAAAGAAAAGCCTCTGTGCAATTCTTTCTCCCTCTCTCTTTTTGTTATTCCTTCCTCCTCTGTCTCCTTTTTTCTTTTTGTTGTTGCGGGATAAAAGAGGAAAACGGGTGCCTCTGTTCTGAGCTCTGGTAATTACTTTATTTACTGACTTTGTTGTTCCTTTTTTTCATAAACCTCAGTCAATATATTTATGATTTGATCTATAATTTGTAAGTGTGTTTGACTTCTCTTTCACCTTGAAATAAAGATCCAGACATGCATTTCTTTCTGCCGGGTACCACGGGTGCAAAGCATTTGCTCTGCTATACTAAAAGACACATTCAGGACATATGTTGGCCATACATTAAATAAGCTGATCAAGGTCATGCAATAACAAGGTTTTAATATAAAATGGTAATTCCTAAAATTATGACATTCCTTTAATTGCTATATTTAGATAAATCATTCAGATTGTGATATTTTACTGCTTGAGTGTGACTCTGTTAATTAGCTGTGAATGGGTTCATTGATTAGCAGCGTGTCTATTGACGGCACTTTAAAGCAGCTAAAGACACAAAGTGCTCTCTAATTAGTGACTCCAGCTAACTGCTGTGTCATTACACTGCACACAGATCAGCCGGGCACTCATTACTCACAGTAACTGTAGATTCAGATGAAACGGATGTAAATAAATCAATGAATGATTTCCCTTTTTTTGGCATGGTTTAAGTTCCCTTATGAAATCATTACTGCCTGTGTTTGAGATTATACGTATGATGAAACTACCATTACAAACATTTATTTTTGTATTAATTAATAATTGTGTACGTTAAATTCTGTTTGCAATTGTAATAAACTGAGAAAAAGCAGCAAATTATCAAAATAAGGGAGATGCAAGCAGAATATACCTTGCAATACAAATATTGGTTCTGCATAAAGCCACATTGTAAGCTACATGCAAAAGTTTGAATTACATAAAAAAATAATCTAGTTTTGAACACAATGAGTGTTATAAGGGAAAAACTCAATCAATATCAATTCAATTGATATGATGTATTGTAAAATGTCATACCACTGCAGGACTCCAGCCTCAGTTAAACATGGAAACTTCTGGAAACATGACACCAAAATAACACATCTAAAAATAATAATAATTCAAAATATTAGAATGGACTGCTTTGCTAATGCTGGCCTGAGGAAGCATGCATGCAGGGTACAGGGGTGAGATAGTGCGAGGTGTTGTGTTGTGACATCCCCCCCCCCCCCCGCCCCGCCTCACAGACACATGTCTCCTAATAGGAGCTCAGCTGAAACAAGAAACAACACTGTCACTACCAATGCACCCCCCACCCAAAGCAGACGCCTGTCAGCCAGCTAATGTCCCCTGACAAAAAACGCTGTGAATGAAAATGGTCACGAAGAGTCTGTGTGTGTGTGTGTGTGTGTGTGTGTGTGTGTGTGTGTGTGTGTGTGTGTGTGTGTGTGTGTGTGTGTGTGTGTGTGTGTGTGTGTGTGTGTGTGTGTGTGTGTGTGTGTGTGTGTGTGTGTGAAAATAGGGAGGGGAATAGAGAGAGAGAGGGAAAGAACTCATCTGTGTCACAGTCTATCCCCCCGGGCAATCAAGAAAGAAAAAAAACAGTCATTAGCAACTGGTGGTGCTTGCTCCAGCAAATCGCCGTTTGACTGGAGATTTATGCAGACTGCTGACTGGAAATGATTTATTTATTTTAGCAGAGGCTGTGAGATCATTAACCTCCGCTGTGTCTCTGGGGAACGACATCTGCGGCCCCCCACACTGCTCAGACAAAAGGCCCAGCGCGTCCCCCGGCTTCAGGAGGAGAGGGAGGATGGGAAAGAGGAGGAGGGGGCCCGGCTGAAGGGCCTGTCTGAGGGCCAGGGGGGGGTGAGGCCTCTGGTGAACACGCTGTTCTGTTAGCAGTGATCAGGCTCACTTGTTGACACTGCTTTGACACATATTAGTCTGAAATACAGTAAATTAAATTGCTATAGGTTTGGATTTAAGATTTGATTGTCACTTAAATGTCAATAGTATACTTGTTATAAAACAATTCACGAAGAACTGTATATTAACCATCTGTGATTGTTTTGACTTTATCTATATTTCATCAAATCCAAATTATAAAAAAAAAAAATAGAACTTTGGATTTCTGTGTTACAGTGCCTGCTGTTATCATCACTTCTGTTACTGCGGCCACTAAGGCAGTTGCCCCACAAAATGATTGGCTGTCACTGTGGTTTCTACGTCACCTCCGACATAAGTTACTCTGGTTGCGACTCAAATGGTGTTTAGCTGGGGTGCTGTGACTACCTGTTGCTGTGAGATGTAAAATATAAAATGTGGATCGTTCGCTCTAACCAAACCTGGAACTATGAAGACACAGAACTACCTAGATCTTCTCTTTACGCTCCTAAAAGATAAGACGACCCACTGAAACACTGTGTGGTCAACTACATTTTAACGTATTTTGTAGGTATTTTTAGACCTTTTAACTCTTATTCCTTGGATTGGTGAAAAACAGTATTTCGATCTCCCTGTCTGTATCTCACACACACAGAAGATTGACAAAAAGTACATTTTGACTTTAAAGGAATGGTATGCTCATGACACTCATTTAAATTGTTTTATCATCCGATAAAACAGACCAGTCTCTGCCAGTCTCTCTTTTTTTTTTTTTTATCCGATGACATTATCAGTGATTTTAAACTGATTAATTACCGAAATAACATCAACACTGTGGGCGGCGCCATTTTACCGGACGTGACGTAAACCATGCGTTTGGTTTCGAGGACACGTTGATGTTCATGTTATTTACTGTAGTTACTCTCTTCAAATATGCCTCATTGTATCGCGAAACATTGCCACAATTCTGATAGGAACAATCCACGGAATGCTCGGTTCCATCTGTTGCCAAAAGTAAGCGTAGGAAGTACGTTCGGAGGCAGTGGGCTAGCGAAATGTGGCCGGCCCGAACCGAAAGATCCACAGGCGCATGTATGCAGCGAACATTTCAAGTTTCCGGACGACTACTCTGAGAGTATGATAAAACATAACATGGGATTTATTGAACAACCATTACTTAATGGAGATGCAGTACCATCGGTCTTTCTGGTGTCATCACCGACCAGGACACCAGTTCGGCCAGTTGAGAAATCGCCCTCTGCAAGTGTGAAGCGACGGAGGACCAGAAGTAGTGCTCGGAGTAAGAATAAGGTATGTTATGGCGCATTTCCATTGCAGCGGGTAGCCCCGTTTAAACGTCCTTTATCGTCCAGGCCAGGCCAGTTTTTGGTGGGCTTTCCATATAGCGTAGTACCAGCTAGTGGGTATTTCCCCCCAGTTTTTCCGGCCCCATAAAATCGTGGTTCTAGGGCCAGGGACAACGAGGCTGAGTATGCTAAACTAGAGAGGGAATCGCTAGCAAGGGTGGTACTACATGCATACATATCTAGTAATCAAAATCATTGTATCTACTAAGTAGTACTAAGTAGGCTCGAACCTGTATGGCTGAATTCCCCCATCCAATCTCTTCATATTGCTCAAAACTTCGCCATGTTTTCGTGTGTTTACAAAGTGAACGCATGGATGACATCACGACCATCACGTGACTACTGAAAATGGGCAAAATGGCAGCGGCCTGACGGAATATACAGGTTTTTGATAAAAAAGAGCTATAAAATCATTATTTACCGGGGAATATCGCTGATTTCTTCAGGGTATGGTTTAAACATAATGTTTCACTAAATACTGAAGTTTTGATTAATTATCTAATGAGTGGAGCATTCCTTTAACTTTGATTTACTTCAAGATATGTCTTGACTTTCACAAAAACACTTCTAAGTCTGTATCCCAAAAACGTATAAACCACAGTTCAAAACTGCGACAGTAATGTTACTTAGGATGGAAGTTAGTTTAGTAAGCTAGGCTAGGCTTACTAGCGACTGCTTTTTGACTGAAATACAAAGGAGCAGCACAACCTCGCAAATTTGTTGTGTTGTGAATGTGCAGATGTCTCAAATTGTCAACAGTTTATGACTAATGAGGTTTATTGATAGGGGGCGGAGTCTACACTGTATGTCCTTTTCCAGTCCGTGGTGTTCCACAGACGTTAGCCTTAACTTCATCCACTAACATGAGTCGGTGAAGCTTTGCCACTGTTTCTATGAATCTGCCCTAAAGAGGTTTTTATTCTTTGAACAGGGAATACATTATACATTAATACATTATATAAATAGAAATAAAAACATTTTTTTACTTTAGCACCTTACGCAGACAGCCATGGACCTATACTTCCAGACACCACACACATACACTGTTTAAACTTCTGTCCATCGAGATCATGCTCAACCAGCCTTATGAAATTACCAAAAAAGATTGAATCTCAGTTACATTAAGAAAATGAATGATCAGGTAAGATTATCCAATGCATATTTTTGCATGCTTTAGTAAAAGAACATGGCCTCTTGACATTGGAAACATTGTGGATCAGTCGGTCTCCAGCTGCATCTCAGTCCCATAGCTTCATGTACATCAATACCCTGTTAATGACATGTGCCACTATACTCATGTCCATCTAATTAGAGAAGTTCAGGAGGTCCTGTCCAACTCCAAACTGATTCCTCCTGGAAGGAGAAATAAGAAGGGTGAAGCAAATGACAGTATACATCTGAAATTAATCAGGACTTGAACTGAACGGGGGGCAAAGTGTGGCCTCACCCGTGCCTTTTTAAGTATGTGTAATTGGACACTTATAGCAATCTCAAAGCAGCGGCAAAGAGCATCTGCATTAACCCACTGCACCTGGAGTGGAGGAGGCCAGATTAATTAAATAATTTCCCCCATTTCCATCCCCAAGCGTTGTGATCCTTTAATTTCCAACGATCAGAATCCCGGTCCCTTTGAAAGACCGTACGGAAATGTATATGGAAGACAAGCAGGAGGGAGATGTTGGTTTGTCAGTTCACTGGAAGTGATGACTGTGCTCCAACCTTATCAAGCAAACACTTGAGGGCACAACAAATCAAGATTTTTATTGGGGGTAATAAACTCCAGCATCCAATTGGAGATGAAGAGTATATTTACGAGAAATGTTAACGGTGGCATAATTTCCTCTCCAGATGGTGTGATGTTTTGGGATTTAAGGTGATATAAACATATAAATATGTACCTTAAACAAATATTTAATCATCTCTGCCATAAATATGTCAGCAGCAGAAACATTTCTGAACAACTTTATAATTACAGTCCATTTGTCCCTTTAAAATGTACCTACAAAGATATTGACTTCACTGCAAAGATGCCTGCTTTTCACTTGGAGGGTTGTATTCATACCCCAAAATAGCATAAAGAAAGTCTTAAAACAAAAGACATGTGGTTCTATAAACAGCTGCACCAACCAATACAATAAAGGGGACAATGAATTATCATCAAAAAAGGGAAGCATGTTTCAAATTCAAATAACAGCACAGTTTTCTAATTTAATAAATGAAGTTGGGAAATATGCAGAATAAGTTAGAAAAGGAGGGGGAGAATCATTTGGCATGGTGGGAAACAATATGGTGTGGTGAGGGCAGGGGGGGGGATCAGGGATAAACAAACAAACCTTGACAAGGGCAGCAGTGGAGGATCAGCCGGGGAGCAGCGGGGTCTGCGCTGTTTGAGAGGGGGGCTGCCAAGTACCGACCCTGAACTGAGGCTCCGGTGCTGCCTGGCTGCACTAAGCAGTGGCTGCCAGCACGCGCTGATTTATCAGGGGGGCCACGCCAGCCGCCACCTCGCTCTCCCCCGTGCCCTGCCTTTATAAAGAGCCTCCCTGACGGCTCTGATAGTGCAATCAGGGCTACGGCAGAGCCAAGGCAATTTCTCCTTCACTCTTTGATAACCCCGTGCCTTATTGAAAGCCAATAGCAATGGCAGCAACAACAACTCAATTGGAAAGAGTTGCTGCATTTTGAAGGGGGAAAAAGGTTACGCCTTGACAAAATGAGGGGGGAGTGAGGGGATGTCTGTCTCACTTTATGTGAAAGAGGCTTTGTCCTCCAACAGGTGGCGTGATTCCTAAGCCACCAGCGTCCCTCAGCTAGCTCGTCATGGGGACTGTCAAATGTTTTTTTCCTCCATCATTGGAATTCTGTCAGAATGGCTGGAGTTCACATGTGACATTTTGTCATGTTGAGCAATGAATAACCGAGAGTCTGAAGCCATGAGGCTGTGCTTAGAACTGAGATATAATCAGTGCTTTGAGCTGGATGCTAGCATCAGCATGAACACAGGCCTCACAATGACAACATGCTGCTGTTTACCATGTTCACCTTGTTAGTTAAGCATCACTCCAGCAACATTACAGAACAATCATCCCCAGGGACATGAATAGAGTGGTGCAGTAATGAGTCCTAAAGCCCCAGAATTTGTCAGCATTTTACCAACTCCAGTTTCCTCGTCTTCAAGTCGGAGTTTTTTTAATGTGTTTCTGGTTAACTTCCTGAAATAAGGGTCTGTGGTTAACAAAAGCTGGACAGATTCTCACGTTTTGTTCTACAACATCAAATACGTCAGTAAATACCCCACTGATGAATGTGTCTTAAAAACGGAGGTTGCTAACAAGTGACTAAATAAGACTATACTAAACATCATCATGCAGAATAGGATCGTGACGACATTAGCTTTAACTTCTGATGACACAAAAGCTTCTACATTTCACTCAAAACTACAAATGGCTAGAGGAAAAGTCTGGGGGACACTAAAGTCATTAGGGTGCATCTTCTGAGAACATGAATATGTAAAAGTGTCATGACCATCAACCAATAGTCTTGAGACATTTCAATAAAAACAAGAATATCAACCTCATGGTTGCACACAATGCAAATTTAGCAGATCACGAAAGTCTGTGGAATTCATCCTATGGGGACGATGGATACTAATACCATGGTTGAGGATCTTGTCTTAACCATGTCCTTTAACAAGAGCCTGAACATGAAACTGGAGACCTGGTTACTCTGCCATCAATGACTGACTGAGAGGCACACTGTGAAGAGCTTTTGATAAAAGCAGTATTTTAATGCGGCCATTTACCATTTTGTTGTTGGCCATGGTAAAAGTGTGTCCCACTGACACTGCCGTCCCTGAGAGTGTGGCTAAAAAGACAATTTAAGAAAGGTGAAAAAAAGTTGCATTACAACATTGCAAAAAGATGGCCATGTCACCTTGTGGTGTGCGTCGGCAACTGTGTTAAATGTTTGTTGTTAGTTTAGGATTTTATGTTTCACTTCCTGTTTTATTTTGTATTCACCTTGTCTCGTTCCTGTTTCCTTTACTTCCCGCCATCGTCAGTGTCTGCCCCGGCCCTGATTGTTTCCACCTGTGTCCACTTACCTTTTGTATAGTGTCCTGTCTCCCTTTGTCTGTTGCCAGATTGTCTTGTGTCGTTTGCCAAACTCTCCAGCGTTATCCTATTTGCATCTTAGTATCGTTACAGTCATTGTCGCATATGTTGTTATAGTAAGGTAAGATCAGGTAATAGTATTTGACTATTTTATTGTTAGGTAAGCATTAGTGTAGATTCTTTATTGTATATATATTTTGTAATATAACTGCTTTTCAAGTAAAGACTATTTTTGATACTTGAATCCTGTGTCTGCATCCGTGCTTTTGGGTCCACTCCTTGTACACTCGCGACACCTTGTCTCTGAGTTGGAAGCGTTTTGGGACACATATGGGCAATATAATACAAATATATTTGGTCCTTGGGAAGAAGAAAATGTGTATGAACAAAGGAGGATTAAGCGGATATCAAATGGGGATATTTGTTGAAAGATATTTATTTTCAAACACTTCATAAAAAAAAAAAGTGAAAAAATAATTGTTGGTCCAAAAACACTTAATCATTGGAGTGGGTTGAGGTTTTGTGTTGTTGTCACCATGGAGCCATCGCTGACTAAAGTAATTGATTTCTAAAATACAGAATGTCCCTGTTATATCGTTCAAGGCTGGTGTAATTTAATCTGCAGTCTGATGAATTAAACAATACAAAAACAAGTTAAAGGATCTCAATTTCAGACCTTTGCCTTTTATTGATTATTCACAGTTTTCAATTCCAGAAATGTTCCTCTAAGTGGGCAATCAGGTTGTGGCACATATTGGAACACAATTGCACCATTGTTCAAATAGCCATACACTTTCAAAGTAAAGGAGTGCTGAGAATCAGTCGGGAGAAA